CCACAATATCTATCTACGTCCCTGCCATTGGCGGAATAACGCTGAAGGAGAGTCATACAGCCCTAAAAATTTACTGTACTCAAAAACTAACTTCACTATCGTTTTTAGTGATCTCAAAAACCTAAAAAAACGGATTTTTAAACAAAATAAAATTTTTAAATTTTCTCCGGTCCAATACGCTGCCGGAAGGTCTATATATAGACCCTACCTATGATCGCAACTTTATATAAGTTATATAAAAGATACAACCACAAAATTTGGGAATTTCCTAAGGGACATAATGCTCTTCAAATCCCGGCAGCGTAAAGGCTAAAAGTATCTATTAAAATTCTTATGTCATTATCACTTAAGTAACTAAATATTTGTTCAATACACTCAAGTGGTAGCTTAGGAAAGTTACAGAACAAATAAAAAATTTTAGTGCCTTGTTCGAACAACTCTTTTTTTTCCATACCTTTTCTCAACTGATTTTTTATCATGCTAGAGTATATTGGAAATTTTGTTTTATACTCGTCTGATCTTAAAACCTGCACTACATTTTCATTTCTCATATATATTACTAATGGATCTTTTATCAAGATATCATGAAATGATATGTTAGTATTATTAATTTTCTCATTCTTCAAGATTGTTACTTCTTTTTCACATTTATCCTGTAAATCCTTCATGTTTTCGTAATTACACCTCATTGATAAGTGTTCACTTACGTATAACTTTGCAGTTTTCATCTTAACTATATGCTGTTTAAGAATCTCAGCAATTTCCGTTTTCTTATATTGAATTGCATAGTGAAGCGGAGTTTGGCCATACCGAATTCCAACATTAACGTTAGCACCTCTGTCCAAAAGCATCTGAACACCACTTACATGTCTTATTTGAATAGCGAGACACAGTGGTGTAAAACCTGAGAAGAAAGAGATATAAGTAAAATTAACTCTCCAATTAAACTTCATGTTCTAAAAGATGTTCATCAATCTGTAAATATCTTTTCTCAGCTGCA